GATAACCAGGGACCGGCAAGGTCTCTCAGGTCCGTTTTTGACAAAGCTGTTATTGATGTCATATGCGAGCCCTTTGCCACCAGCAGAGGGCCCTTTCAAGCCTTTTTAGGGCCGTTTAACGTCTCTTGAGTTTCCTTTGAGGCTAAGGGCCTCTTCAGCAGCCGAGGGGTCTTTGAGGCCTTTTTGAGGGCCTCTTAACGTCAGCTGAGGACCGTTGGACGCCATCTGAGGACCGTTCGGGCCTTCTGATGGCCAGTAGATGCCAACTGAGGGCTCTCTGACACCAGCTGAGGGCACGCTGACACCAACTGGGGGCCTCCTGACACCAGCTAAGGGCGCTTTTATATTTGACACGAGCACAGGGCCCTTTGACGCCCTTTGAGACCTTCTGAGGGCCCTTTGCTGCCTTCTAAGCGGCCTTTAAGGCTTTTTGAGGGCCGCTTGACGCCACCTGAGGACCGTTGCGGTTGGACTCCAGTTACGGACCGTTTGAGGCCTTCTGATGACCATTTTGCGCCAACTGAGGGCCCTCTGACACTAGCTGGGGGCCCTCTGACACCAGATAAGGGCCCTTTAAGGCCTTTTGAAGTCCGGTTAACGCTAGCGGAGGGCCTTTTGAGGCCAAATGAGGGCCCTTTGAGACCTTATAAGGGCTCCTTGAGGCTTTTGAGGGCCGCGTGACGGCATCTGAGGACCGTTGTACTCCAGCTGACGACCGTTTGAGGCCTTCAGATGGACTTTTGGCGCCAGCTGAGGAGGGCTCACTGACACCAGCTGGGGGCCCTCTGACACAAGCTAAGGACTCTTTAAGGCCTTCGGAGGGTCGTTTGACGCGAGCTCAGGGCCCTCTGACGCAGGTTTAGGGCCCTTTGACGCCCTTTAAGGTCTTCTGAGGTAGGTTTAACGTTGGCTGAGAGCCCTTTGAACCCATCTGAGGGCCCTTTGAGGCCATCTTGTGGCCCTTCATTTGGCCATATGAGGGCCCTTTGACACCAGATGAGGGCCATTTGAAGCTAACCGAGGGCCCTTCGAGACCATCCGAGGACCCGGTGACCCCATCTGTGGGCCCTTTGAGGTCTTTTGAGGGCCATTGAAATTTCACCACAATACCCCTGGCTGCGCTACTGGGCATTTATGGACTCGTATGGGCCTGCTGGGGAACGAGATGGGCCCTCCCGGTCTTTTCAATCATTATTTCAGTTCATTTTACATGGTCTTCGGCGGTCTAAAGATTAGGGGCCCCAACTCGAATGGGGGGGGGGGGAGGCCCGTGTGCCCTCTCCTGTGTGCGGCCTTGCCGACACTACACCGCTTCCCCTCCCTCCGCCATAAACGCACCGCTGCACTGCGCCGACAAATACGGACCGGCGCCGCAACCGGCTCCCCGCGGCCTGCCTCGCGTTGACATAGCCCTTCCCGAACACCAGTGTAACCCCCACGCGGCCTAGGTATCGCCGCGCCCACCTGTCCGCGGCGCGGCCTCTGATGGCGTATCGGATCATTGATGGTGCGATACATGTTTTGGTCAGATTTTCGCAATTAACGCGGAAAATTGTCCAAAATTCTTTTTAAATTTCAAAATTGAAAAAAAAAATAATTACAAAAATGACGTGAAAGTGACCGTTTTCAACATGTAAATTTAAAACGCTCTAGCGCAGCCATTTTTGAAGAAATCGACTTCAAATTTTGCACACGTGTTCATCAACCATATTTGTTTAACATATATTTCGGTTTTGTGAAAATTTTGAAAATTTCTTATATTTTTTCTCTTGAGAAAGAGGTAAAGCTTCGCTACGATCGGCCTTCCGATCGACCGAGAAGATTCGTAAAGTTAGTTCGTATCTTCATCATTTGCGATACAACTTGCGTATCTACTTAGCCTACGATGTGATGGATCCCTCCAATATCTGTTCCGATTCAACTTACGTTTGATCGCAACTGCGATGTGCCTTGCGATCACATGGATCCCCCCAGCCTAAGGCTGGGGGGATCCGTGCTATCGTAAGTTATATCGGACGTGGCTGCGAAACTTCTCTCGGTACGAAACTTCTCTTGATCGGAAGAAAATCGGAGGGATGAAAAAGAAAGAGCGGCAAATCGGAGCTACGTTGTACGTAAGTTGTTTCGCAGCGTTTAAATGCCCGTTTTACTACGATTTAAATGCCAAGCAGATCAGCTGACCTCGTAGTACCATGTCGATAAGGTCGAATTCCCCATACGTCTATAGTGTAAAAGTGACCCCTATTGCAAATGGGCTGTCAGGGACATCTCCTCCTCTGTAAATTTGGAGGGATGATGTGTCGGCATTCCCACGTTCGTTTCGGAGTCCATCTGTTCCATTTGGAGCCCGTCAGTTGGCGTCAAGAGTTGGCGCAGCGAGCGCCCCGAAGACTGCGTCTGCGCACGAGGCTTCGCGATGTAGGAGTATTTTGACGAAATCGCCCTCGCTGCAGAAGAAATAGAGGGACTTGTTGAGAAAGAGGAGGCCGCAGTGTGCCGACGACTTTAAATTGTACGCCAACGCCAAGACCAAGGCAATCAGGGGGCGCTCAGATGATCGGGAGGTTTCAATTGATCAGGGACCCACCAGGTGACCAGGGAACCCTCTGATAACCAGGGGTCCTTCCAGTAACCAGGGACTCCTTCAATAACCAGGGGCCCCTCAGTAAACGTGGGCCACTCAGGTTACTGCAAGAGACAGGAGTCCCTTATAACCAGGGACCGGCAAGGTCTCTCAGGTCCGTTTTTGACAAAGCTGTTATTGATGTCATATGCGAGCCCTTTGCCACCAGCAGAGGGCCCTTTCAAGCCTTTTTTAGGGCCGTTTAACGTCTCTTGAGTTTCTTTTGAGGCTAAGGGCCTCTTCAGCAGCCGAGGGGTCTTTGAGGCCTTTTTGAGGGCCTCTTAACGTCAGCTGAGGACCGTTGGACGCCATCTGAGGACCGTTTGGGGCCTTCTGAGTTCTGATAGCCAGTAGATGCCAACTGAGGGCTCTCTGACACCAGCTGAGGGCACGCTGACACCAACTGGGGGCCTCCTGACACCAGCTAAGGGCGCTTTTATATTTGACACGAGCTCAGGGCCCTTTGACGCCCTTTGAGACCTTCTGAGGTCCGTTTGACGCCAGCAGAGGACCCTTTGGGGTCATATTAGGGCCCTTTGCTGCCTTTTAAGCGGCCTTTGAGGCTTTTTGAGGGCCGCTTGACGCCACCTGAGGACCGTTGCGGTTTGACTCCAGTTACGGACCGTTTGAGGCCTTCTGATGGCCATTTTGCGCCAACTGAGGGCCGGGGGGCCCTCTGACACTAGCTGGGGGCCCTCTGACACCAGATAAGGGCCCTTTAAGGCCTTCTGAAGTCCGGTTAACGCTAGCGGAGGGCCTTTTGAGGCCAAATGAGGGCCCTTTGAGACCTTATAAGGGCTCCTTGAGGCTTTTGAGGGCCGCGTGACGGCATCTGAGGACCGTTGTACTCCAGCTGACGACCGTTTGAGGCCTTCAGATGGACTTTTGGCGCCAGCTGAGGAGGGCTCACTGACACCAGCTGGGGGCCCTCTGACACAAGCTAAGGACTCTTTAAGGCCTTCGGAGGGTCGTTTGACGCGAGCTCAGGGCCCTCTGACGCAGGTTTAGGGCCCTTTGACGCCCTTTAAGGTCTTCTGAGGTAGGTTTAACGTTGGCTGAGAGCCCTTTGAACCCATCTGAGGGCCCTTTGAGGCCATCTTGTGGCCCTTCATTTGGCCATCTGAGGGCCCTTTGACACCAGATGAGGGCCATTTGACGCTAACCGAGGGCCCTTCGAGACCATCTGAGGACCCGGTGACCCCATCTGTGGGCCCTTTGAGGTCTTTTGAGGGCCATTGAAATTTCACCACAATACCCCTGGCTGCGCTACTGGGCATTTATGGACTCGTATGGGCCTGCTGGGGAACGAGATGGGCCCTCCCGGTCTTTTTAATCATCATTTCAGTTCATTTTACATGGTCTTCGGCGGTCTAAAGATTAGGGACCCCAACTCGAATGGGGGGAGGCCCGTGTGCCCTCTCCTGTGTGCGGCCTTGCCGACACTACACCGCTTCCCCTCCCTCCGCCATAAACGCACCGCTGCACTGCTAGGCGCCGACAAATACGGACCGGCGCCGCAACCGGCTCCCCGCGGCCTGCCTCGCGTTGACATAGCCCTTCCCGAACACCAGTGTAACCCCCACGCGGCCTAGGTATCGCCGCGCCCACCTGTCCGCGGCGCGGCCTCTGATGGCGTATCGGATCATTGATGGTGCGATACATGTTTTGGTCAGATTTTCGCAATTAACGCGAAAAATTGCTTAAAACACTTTTTAAATTTCAAAATTAAAAAAAATAATAATTACAAAAAGGACGTGAAAGTGACCGTTTTCAACGTGTAAATTTAAAACGCTCTAGCGCAGCCATTTTTGAAGAAATCGACTTCAAATTTTGCACACGTGTTCATCAACCATATTTGTTTAACATATATTTCGGTTTTGTGAAAATTTTGAAAATTTCTTATATTTTTCTCTTGAGAAAGAGGTAAAGCTTCGCTACGATCGGCCTTCCGATCGACCGAGAAGATTCGTAAAGTTAGTTCGTATCTTCACCATTTGCGATACAACTTGCGTATCTACTTAGCCTACGATGTGATGGATCCCTCCAATATCTGTTCCGATTCAACTTACGTTTGATCGCAACTGCGAGGTGCCTTGCGATTACATGGATCCCCCCAGCCTAATAAGTGTAGGTACAAGTGACAAAGTAAGTGAATAAAAAAAGAAGAGGACGAGATCACGAAAATGACGAAAAGTACAGACACAAACTCAAAGAGTTAAGCCAGAATGGCAGTGCAATGGTCAGGGCACGGCGTAACCTGACCGTTCCACCGTGACCGCTCCACCGTGGCCGTTCCACAGCTCGCACTGTAATCTGACCGGCATACGCTGTGACCGCCGCGCCCTGACCTGACCTCCCCGCCCTCCCCCGCCCTCAGCTGCTGATGCCCGGCCAGCCGAGCGCGCCGAGCACGCCCGGTACGCCGAGCACGTCGTGCTGTGAGACGGGCCGGCCGGTGGCCACTGACCCGGTGACCGGTCAGGCCATCTGCTCGTGTCAGTACGAGGCCGGCGGCGGCGGCCGGTCGGGCGCACTGTGCGGCTACCCGCGGCTACCGGCCGGCACGGCACTACCCTACGGGCCGGCGTACTCGAGCGGCGGAGAACAGGGCGCCTATCCCGGCATCGGAGTCGATAGCTCCTACTTCGCCTTCGTGAGTACTTGAGTAACTATGCTGTACTTTGGGAGGGTAAGCGATGGGAAAAGGTGCTCGATGTACTCAACTCACTTCAGGTGCAGGGGTATCAAGTGAAGAGCATCAACTAACCACCCTCACTCACTCCCAGCGGCCAGCTGTTTCATATATTCGTTTTCATAAGAAAAATGAGCACATCGGAAAAGTTTCCCAAGGAATTGCTATTGCTTACCTGACACTTGATTCGGTGGAATTGAAGGCACTTATGTACTCTACAGGGCCAGGGAATGACTAACCAGGATGTTTCTCTTTTTTCACAATCTTTATACAAATTGTAGCGAAAGGTGTATGCTGATAAGTAGTGCAATGATGTAATAGGTAGATAAAGCAGCGAGCAGGTGGGACATTTCGGCCGCCTAACAGGTTTAGGTTTTTGAAGATCAAGGATGCGCACTCTTCATGACTTTTCGGATTTCAATTACCAACATATTAGTGGTAATGAAAATAATGCCGCATAAATGCACAATAAAGCACCTTACCGTTTGTGTGTAGCACCAGCTGGCAGCTAATGCCGTTCGTCGTTTCCACTTTATTATCAATCCTGCTACCTATACAGTTATTTGAGCGATGATTGTGTGCGTTTGATGTTTCCGACAAATCCACCTCAGTAAACAGAACAGAGACCAGGGCCAGGAAGATAGCATTTGCCAGAGCGCCGGCCTTTATCTGAGTCTATTGTGTCTGTGGGCCACGTGCTCTTCTGTAACAATTGACGAAGCATGCCTGTTTAAAGTAAACATAGGATTGTTCGGCCGAAATTGGTCTAATTTTCTTCTAACCAGTGCCAGTGCCAGTGCACCATGTCTGATTGCGACCGTAATTGAACATAAAAATTTGAAAATGATGCCTGTATAAAGCTAATTTGCCGCAATTCGCCATGCGAAGTTGATGATTTGGTCATATAGGAACAACGAGCCATTCACAGGAGCTCGGCTGTGCTCCCTAACCAATGAATGTCAGCACAGACCATACATCGTGGAACCCTCCCACATCTCCGTTTACTCCACTTTTGGATCGGCCTCTTTCAATTCATTCAGCCAGTTCATTCAGGACATTGGCCCTTTTCTTCGACCCGACTTACCTATCGAGAAACAGTGGCCAGAATCATATATCAGTTCTGTCGAGACATTGGCTTGTTCCGTCCACCAGTCCTGTCAATATACTGGTCTATTCCGCTCGCCACTTTTGTTGGGAGTTTGGTTCGAGAGACTGGCCCTCATCAGCATTCAGCTCCCCCGGTTCTCTCGTATTCTGCCGTGTCTCGCCCGAAGCGTCGCTCTAGGGCTGCGTTGAGCCTGTTACCAACAGCCTGTCCATCCGAGAAACTGATCCTTTCTCTTGACATCTCTTTCGAGAGGCGTCATTGGTCACAACCGCAGTTTGTTTGAAATAGACAAACACTATTCGTAAAAATTGTGTTTTTCTATTGAAATCTACTTCGACCAGTCCTTTGGAGAGTCTGGCCAGTTCCGTCAGCCACTTTTTCTCGAGGTCCTGGTCAGTTCCGCCCGTCCCTCCATGACTTGGGAGACTGGCGAGTTCCGTCGGCCAGTCCCGTTGGAAGTCTGGCCCTCATCAGCCCCCTCAGCGGCTGCCTGCTGGACACAGTTCCTCACAGGCCGCCGACCGGGTCAGGCCGGGCCGACAATGATGGGTTCACAGGCCGCCGACCGGGTCCAGGCGGCTGACCCGGTCAGGCCAGGCCGACAGTGAGGTTCACAGGCGGCCGACCGGGTCAGGCCGGGCCGACAATGATGGGTTCACAGGCCGCCGACCGGGTCCAGGCGGCTGACCCGGTCAGGCCAGGCCGACAGTGAGGTTCACAGGCGGCCGACCGGGTCAGGCCGGGCCGACAATGAGGGGTTCACAGGCGGCCGACCCGGTCAGGACAGGCCGACAATGAGGTTCACAGGCCGCCGACCGGGTCAGGCCGGGCCGACAATGAGGGGTTCACAGGCGGCCGACCCGGTCAGGACAGGCCGACAGTGAGGTTCACAGGCCGCCGACCGGGTCAGGCCGGGCCGACAATGAGGGGTTCACAGGCGGCCGACCCGGTCAGGACAGGCCGACAATGAGGTTCACAGGCCGCCGACCGGGTCAGGCCGGGCCGACAATGAGGGGTTCACAGGCGGCCGACCCGGTCAGGACAGGCCGACAATGAGGTTCACAGGCGGCCGACCCGGTCAGGCGAGCCATGCCGAGCCGACAGAGGCAGAACACACCGGATACCGGCCGGGCCAACGCCGGATAACAGACCTCCGGTCGGTCGGCAGCCGGCCCCTGGCGGCGCGTCTCATGTCCCACTGTTCCAGTAATCTTTGTGCGTCTCAAAGGGCCACTCCAAGGCCGAGACGGGTCAGTCGCGACCGCCACGGGTCAGGGTTTGGCGTCTGGAAAGGGACTGCAAGCTTATGTGATAGGTATTCTATATGGTAGGCTCAAAACTGAGGCAGCATTGGCGTAGGTATCAATTGGCCAGCCATCCGGGAAAGTTTTGATCATCCCAGTTTTGATCAGAACGGTAACGACGCTCGGAGATCTATATGTCCTAGTAGCTCTTCTTATATATTAGCGGTGTCCCGTCCTGAGTGGTCACAAGACCGTCAACGCTGGTCCACCATGTCGGTCACGTGATCAAACGTACCAGAGCTGATCCATCATCCGTCATCCACCAGCGAACAGCAGCAGTCTGAGGTCGGTTCAGACTGACGTTCTAACCCAAACAGTACAGAAACGGGCGCGCAGAGTTCAGAAGCTCCCGGTCAAGTGTTGCGACCGGTAAACACTCAACTAGGGCCGTTTGATGTAAAACGTCAATCTCCATGCTATCCCGTGACCAGGGAGCCCTGTGTTTATACCGTGCTCTGTAACTATTTATGTACGTCTGTTATAATTTGTATGTCCCAGTAGCTCGGTGGTGGGCGCCCACCAGCCGGCTCGTTGACGCTCTGTGACCTGTGCGAGGCGTGCTTTTGCTGCGCCTGAATGCGATTCTCGGTCCGTCTCCTGCAATAAGTTGTACCTATAAAGTAATTTGATCCTCGATTAGCCGTTTACCCACCTACCTAATTTACCGATCCAATAGTTAGGTTTATGATCACTGTTACACTCCATGCAGGAGGCAGTTTTGATCAGGGATTCTGGTAGATATATTTTATTCAGAGAAGAAGATAAATGGCAAATACATAAATTCGGTATAATCATGCTTGCATTTTATGGATACCTGTTTGAAAATGTTCTATATGATATTTGCGTATGACTCATTCGATGGTTGCCTATATTCACACAGCGAGTAAGCATGGATGAAAAATTGGATGCATTTGATGTAAGCCCGAGCGTTATCTTTTGTCTCGATCCATGGCTCAAACTACTAGTTTGCAATTTGCATCATGCAACGCGCTAGCCCAGCAAAACAGCGGTACAGTGCGCCACCCTCTCGGTCTGTCTCCCCCCCCCCCCCCGTTTCATCCCCCGGTGTAACGCTACCCCGGGCAGCAGATGCAGCCGTGTAACGTCACGTCACGTCACGAAGGGCGTGACGCTGCTATCGGCACATGTCATCGGTGCTGCCCGGTGCCCGTTTAGAACGGTAACTCAGTACGGGCTGCGGTGGATCTCACATAACGGACCTCCACCAAATGTGATGGTTTAGCTGACTGCAAAAGGAAGGCGTCGATTTGGATAGGGTGTGGTTTACTGAGTCATATCTGGCATTGGTGGCTAGTGAGTAGTGTTTGCTGAGGAGTAACAGTTTGTACGAATAGATGAGATTGGATTACGATTATAACGATTAGAGTGTGTCGCCTGGAATGTCTTCTGATACGATAGTGAAGAGACGGCCTCCCTCCCTACAACGCTGCTGAGGCGTTATTTCTGCACGGCTCGATCATCTGATCTGCGCGTCATCAGCTGACTGGGCTGAAAACTCCCCCAGGGGAGGACGGACTCCCCGTCCGCTACACCCCTCCCCCGGGAGCGGTCCCTCCCGCATCCCCGTGCGGTGACATCCGTCCTTAATTGAAACGGAGCTCTCCCGGGCTGACACGGGCAGGGTCCTGCGGGAGCCATTTTGATAAGTGATCCGGGATCGTGTTAATCAGTGCCGCTGCCGACACCCAGCGGGCGGAGAGTGGCACCTCTTCAGCTGTCAGTAGGGGACTGGGTGTGTCGCCCGGAGGGATTTGGTGGAGAGGAGAGACCCAGCAGACACTCTGATGTGTCGACCGTGTCTGTAAGATACTGATGCCTTCTCGTCGCTTAGTCCCCTGCGCGTGGGGCGGCACAGTGGTGCCACGGATCCAGCACGGAACCGAGTTTGGGGCTGCAAGCACAACTCAGGTGAGGGACCTAGCAGTTAGCACGCCGAGGGTGGCAGCCCTTGTTCGCCCAAGATGACGGATCTAGCTCACCGAGAGCGAAGGACCGAACAACACGGGCCCAGCTCGCCAGTTCAGAGCCCTATAGCTCGCCAAGAGAGAGACGGATCGGAGCCGGTTCGCCGAGAATGACGGACCACATACGCCGAAGGAGACAAGCCCAGCTCGCCAGTTCACAGCCGTAGCTCGTCAATGACGGGCCACCGCGACCGAGTGTGAGGCGGACCATAGCGTGCTGAGGGTGACAGACCATGCTCTCTGAGGGTGACAAGGCTAGCTCGCTGAGGGTGACAGACCATGTGCGCTGAGGATGACGATCTGACGGACCGGGTGTGACAGACCACGTTCGCCAGTTGACGGACCGGGTGAGACAGACCATGCTCGCCAGTTGACGGACCGGTTATGACAGACCACGCTCGCCGCGGTTGACGGACCAGGTGTGACAGCTGACACGCGCCGCTCCGCCGCGCGCCGGCACTTGTGTCACCGGTCGGAGGTGTGTCCCAGGATTAGGGTCAGGGCTGGTCGGATTGAGGCGGCGCCAATCCTGGATCAGAGCACCTGTGCTGAATCATGGGTGCA